CCCAACCTTCCTTCCGAGGAGTGGCTGGTGGGTTTGAACCGCCAGTCTTCTGGTTAGCAGTCAAGTGCTTTAGCCACTATGCTACCAGAGCTCCTACTTCAGAATAATACATCCTAAATATTTAATGGGAAAGATTCATTTCTTATACCCATCATAAACCAATCAATGACAAGGAGAAGAGGCTTGCAAAGATCAGCTTAGAGCAGGGACTTGAAAATTTGTTTTATGAAGGGCCATATCATAAATATCTTAGGCTTAGTAGGCCATATGATAGTTTCTATTACAACTGCTCAATTCTGCCATTGTAGAATGAAGGCAGCTCTAGACAATTCATAAATGTTTTTTGTGTTACTGTTCTAATAAAACTTTTATGGACATTGAAATGTAAATTTCATATAAGTTTCACATCACAAGATATTGTTTTGTCAACTATTTAAAAATATAAAACTAGTCTTAGCTTACAGACTAAACATGGCCAATGAGTCACATCTGGTCTATGGGCTGTAGTTTGCCAACCCCTGACTTAGACTACTTAAGACTTACCTCCCAAAAGCACTTATGGGAGAAATGGACAACCAAATCAAATCAAGGCACCATCAGCAATAAAGGAGCTCTGGTGGCATAATTCCTAAGGCATTTGACTGCTAACCAGAAGGCTGGTGGTTCAAATCCACCAGCCACTCCTCTGAGAAGATGGGGCAATCTACTTATGTAGTGACTCTGCCTCAGAAACCCAAGGAGTGGTCACTATGAGTTAGATCTGACTCAACAGCAGTGAGTTTGGAATTTGGTTTATCAGCAATAAAGAAGGCTGTAATTCAGGGGGAAAAAAACTGCAGTATAACACAGGAAAGATGAATTAAGATGATGATATATCTAACATATAGCTCTTTCTGTATCTCAGACACTATTCTAAGTGCTTTAAAAATATTAAACCATTTAGAACATCCAGTAAGACAGAAGACTAGACAGACAAGAGACACAGAACCTCTTCAACAAAGAAAAGAAAAACCAATTGAGAGAGATGCAGAAGATAATCTTGGAGCCCTGAGCTTTGAAAGGAACTATGCAGAAGTGGATTAGGCACTAACTAGTGGAAAAACCTGAATGAAAACAATGAGTACAGAGATGGTTGGAGCTGCAGACTGTCAGCTACTCTGATGGGACCAGCAGCCTGAATATTTCCAAGAGGTGTTGGGACCTGAGAATTGACCTAAAGATCAACTCTGGTCACCAACAACTGCAGAGACGATTGCACTGGTGGCCTATGACTAAGAAGGGAAACAGTAAGGAGGGAGACAACCTGAGCTGTTGACTTTCTGCTGTCTGGAGGGCACAGCCATTTTGATTATTTACACATGGCAGCCATTTTGGATATTTAAAGAGACTGAGGGTGCAGCCATTTTGAATTTTTACAAGTGGCAACCATTTTGGACTTTAAAGTGATAGCATTCTCATTCGGATTCCAGGGACCTAAGAATAGGCTCTGTTTGCTAAAGTCAGCAGGGTCATATCAGAGGCTGACAACAGGAAAGGAGACAGGTGGTGAGTATATAACTGCTGCCAACTAGCGAATAGAGGAACACAGTACACTGCTTGCATAGATAACATACAAATAAAACAAAGAAAATAAAAATCGTGGGCAAGTCACTCCAACATACAATCACCAGTTAAATATAAACACAAAAACGTCACAATGCCTTAGAGACAACAGAGCATCACAGTCCACACAAAAAAGCAAGATAAAGCAGGAGAAACAGGGAACCAGGATACAGACTCAAAACACATCCATGAGGAAGATTCAACATTGGAACTCCCTGATAAGGAATCCAGAAAAATTATATTTAGATATCTTCAAAGAATTGAGGGAGCTCTGGTAGCATAGTGCCTAAGGCACTTGACTGCTAACTGATCAAGGAAAACACAGAGAAAACCCTAGAACAATTTCAAAAGATAATACAAGAACAAAATGACAAAATAAATGAAAAATTAGAAATGATACAAAATCTACACACAGAAATCCAGAAGATTAATATTAAATTTTTAGAAATAGATAAGACATTGAATGGGCAAAGGAGCAGAATTGAATCAATGGAAGACAGAATTAGGGAGATTGAAGGCAAATACCTGAACACTTCATCTTGGAAAGGGATCAATCAGAAAAAAGATCAAAACAAAATGAAGAAAGCCTAAGGTTCATGTGGGATACCATTAAATGGAATAACCTATGTATCAATCAGAATTCCAGAACAGGAAGAGAAAAATAAAACCACTGAGAAAATTGTCAAAGATTTGTTGGAATAGAACTTTCCTGGTACGATGAAAGATAAGAATATATCCATTCAGGAAGTCTAACACACCCCAAACAGGATAGACCCCAAAAGAAAAACACCAAGACATATCATCATCAAACTTACCAAACCAAAGACAAAGAAAGAATCATGAGAGCAGCACAGGAAAAACAAAAAGTTACTTACAAGCGGCAACCAATAAGACTAAGCTCAGATTTCTCGGCAGAAACCATGCAGGTGAGAAGACAATGGATGGTAAAAATAAAATCCTGAAAAAGAAAAATGTCCAACCAAGAATTATGTAGCCAGCAAAATTGTTCCTCAAATATGATGGTGAGATTAGGACATTTTAAGATAAGCAGAAAATAAGGAAATTTGTTAAAACCAGACCAATCTTACAAGAGATGCTAAAGGGAGCCCTTTGGGCAGAGAAGTAACAACAGCCAACAACAACTGACCGCACACACATGATGATATAACCTAGAAAACCAACCCAGATATGGAAGTATTTCACGTAAATAAGCCTACAGGATTGAAAATAGGGAACCAGAGACATCAATTGACAATTTAGGACAACTACAAACCAAAAAGAGGGAAACAACTGTGTCGTTACAGAACTTCTAGATGGTAGAGAAGTCAAGACAACTATAAGATACAACGGATTGTTCTAAACTTGGGATGAAAACTATAAATGACAGGGTAACCTCAAAAAAAAGGGATAAACCTTCACATTAAAAAACAGGACCAGCATAAATATTCAGCAAATACTAAAACAGCAGCAATGAAGGAAGTGATGACACAATTCATAAACAAAACAAGCTTAGCATAGAAAATTATATGGAACAAAGAAATCAACACCACCAAAAAGCACATAACAAAAATGACAGCAACAAATTCATATTTGCTGATAATTACATATCTGCCAAGGGAGTTATCTCTAAGATTTATAGCGGAAGAGTGGATGACCAAACCATGGTACATACACATAATGGAATGCTATGCAGCACTAAAGAATAATGTAGAGTCTGCAAAATACCACTTACTATGGATGAACCTGGAGGACATTATGCTGAGTGACATAAGTCAGTCACAGAAGGACAAATATAGTATTAGTTCGTTGTTGTGGAGGGTCAAGGAAAGGTTTATATATGGAGGGAAACTTTCTTTGTTGGTTGCCAGAGGTTGGACGGGAGGGGAGGAACACTGAAAAAAAAATGCATTGATCCATGTCACTTTAGTTTTGTGTATTTCACTGTACATAAATTATATTTCAAGAAAAATGCATTTTTTAAAAAAAATATTAAACCATTTAGTTCTCAAAACATCTAGATTGTGGTTACTATTATTACTTTTACAGAAAAAGAAACTGAGGTACAGAGAGGTTAAGTGTTATGCCCCATACAGGGATTTGAACTTAGGCAGGAGTCCAGAGTCACACTCTTACCCACTATGCCATGTTTCTTACACTAGTTAAAAAAAGAGAGTAAAAACCATTTCAGAATCTTATAGTAAATACAATGGTGGATAGCTCTGCACCCTGCTAAATCATCAACATTACAATGATATGTCCTTACACACCACTATTTAATTTTATTCTGTAGTGTGCAATAGATATTATTGTTTTTACCAGCATATGAAGGTATAACTCAAGCTTTTGCTATAAATAAAAGTGTCCCTCATGCAAAATTTAGTTGACCATGAGGCAGTTGGCAATTTTACAAAAGTATATTTATAGCTTCCTTTTTAAAGATTAATTCAGAATCTTTTTAAAGATTAATGTCTGAATCCATTTATTCTACAGGAAATAAGAGAAAAAAATGCTTTATGATTTTAAAAGAGTATTACACTTAAAATACATATTTAATATTAACGAGTCACTGCTGAGATTTAATATGAAGTATCTTCATACACCTAATAGTTAAAATTTACATTTCCTTTGTACAATTATGGTTGGGTTTACATGCATATCAAACATATAATTTAACACATTTTCATATACACATAAGTGCTACATACTAAAGAACTCTTCACCTGTGCTAAATGTTGTTGCCTGATTGCTCAGTTTACTTGTATTTTATAAAAAGCTTCATTTACCTAGACACTTGCAAGTTTCTTTAATAAAAGAAAAACTTAGAATCAGATCTTCAACATAACTTCTAGTGTAAGTCTTTTCGTCAGCACATATTTTCTTTGAATTTTTGTTAAAAAGCTTTCACATATTTAAAATATCTATAAAGGCTTCATCCCAGTATCAATAATCTGACATTCAATGAAATACCAGTTCTTGATCAAGGCTTCTATATTTTCCACAATCTTTGCATTTATCTCCCTTGAGCTCTCTATGATTCTGACTTGTGTAAAAAAGATTTCTGAGTCCTCAGAATACTGAAAGGATTTTGTCACCCAGGTGAGCTCTTGGATGTTTAGCAATGGCTGACCTAAATGAAAGTTTTCTGACATTCACTTTACTGGTAGGATCTCTCTCCTGTTTGATATCTGTGCTGCATAATAAGGCTTGACTTCTGAAAGAAAGATTTCTCTCATGTTTTACATTTGCAGCATTTTGCCATTCACGTTTTCTGATACTTAGTAAAGTCTGACATATAGTAAAATTTCTCCTTTATAAATTCACAAAATTTTTCTGTTTGCTTAAAGATTGTGGTTGAAAATTTTCCCCACATTATTTACCAGGTTTATCTCTTGTGTAGATTATCTGGTTATTCAGAAGAATGAATTCAGACTGGATGAATTTCTTAATTCATAATAGTTTTTCCCCTCTGTGTGTCTTTTGATGTACTGTGAGTTTTGACCTCTGGATAAAGGTTTTCCCACACTCCTCACATTCATAGGGTTTTTCTCCTGTGTGCTTTCTCTGATGTATGATAAAATGTGACTTCTGAGAGAAGCATTTCCTACATTCATTACATTCATAGGGTTTCTCCCCTGTGTGAGTCCTCTGATGTAATCTAAGGACTGAATTCACAGAGAATGATTTACCACATTCCTGACATTCATAAGGCTTCTCACCTGTGTGTTTTCTCTGATGTTTAGTGAGGTCTGATTTATAATAAAAGTTTTTTCCACATTTATTACATTCAAAAGGTCTCTCTCCTGTGTGAGTTCGCTGATGTACTGTCAGGGCTGACTTCTGGTAGAAGGATTTTTTACATTCACTACATTCATAGGGTTTTTCTCCTGTGTGAGTTCTCTGATGGGTTTTGAGGTGTGTATTCCTAGAGAAGGATTTTCCACATTCCTTACATTTATAGGGTTTCTCTCCTGTGTGTGTTCTCTGATGTACTGTGAGGTGTGACTTCTGGGAAAAGGCTTTCTTGCATTCCTTACATTCATAGGGTTTCTCCCCAGTGTGTATCTTCTGATGTACAATAAGGTATGCCTTCACATAGAAGAACTTCCCACATTCCTTACATTCATAAGGTTTCTCCCCTGTGTGTGTTTTCTGATGTTCCATGAGGTGTGGCTTCTGGTAGAATGCTTTCTCACACTGATTACATTCATAGGGTTTCTCCCCTACATGAGTTCTCAAATGTCTACTGAGAGATGACAGGTGGTAGAAGGTTTTCTCACATTCTTTACATTCGTAGGTTTTCTTTCTAGTGTGAATTTTCTGATGTATTGTGACATCTTCATTCCTAGAGAAAGATTTCCTGCATTCACATGGTTTGTCCTCTGAATGTGGATGTACCACAAGGGACTTTCCACGTTCATTATATTCACAGGTTTTCTCTCTTGTATGAGTTTTCTGATGTTTTGAGAGTTTGCCATTCCTAGAGAAAAATTTTACAAATTCATTATATTTGTAAGACTTTTTTTCTGCCTGTTGTTTTTATACTCAGAATAACTCTCAGGACAAATTTCTAGAGATTTTTCCAATATTCTTTAGAGTTATAGAGTTTCTCCACTGTGTAAGCTCTCTAATATAAATTGCGATTTAACATTTGGTAGAATGAACCCTAAACTTGCATTATTTTCACTGATCTCTCAACTACCTGACCTCTGCTTTGTCTACTAAAGCCTCCTTTGTTGGAGAATTCAGAAGAGTTAAAAACCTGCTTCAAAGTTTGAATCCTGGTCCTGTATCCTTAATTACATTCTTTGGCATTCACAGTGCAGTGTGGTTTTCTCACATTTATTATGAACCTAGTTCTCTCCCAATCCCGGTACCTTCATCAGGACACTTTCTTGCAAATCTTCTAATCATAAAAATTAATTCTTGAACTTGCCTTGAATTTTCAGCTTGGTTTTTTTGGTACTTTGCTCCTAGGTCATCAATATCCCACAGGTCCCCTATAAAGGAATCCACAATTTAATACTGTATAAAATATTAACACACTATTATGGTCTTAGGATTTATTTTAGGCTTCAGACCAATTTCCCAAAATGAAGGAACTCTCAAGTGTAAATTTTGTCTATCCCACTGGTTTGGAAAAGCATAACCAACAATGCTGTAGAAACAGAGAAAAAAACTTAAAACCAAATACCTCTGATATTTTACAAATATGACTTTCAAAAGTTAGAGGAGAAAGTTATGATAAAAACAAAGCATGAGGAGCAGAGAACCAAAGATATTCAAAGTGCTGCTGAACAAGAATGAGAGAAGACTGTGAGCCCATTAAGGACAATGAACAATAAGTAAGGCAATAAGAAAAGTTACTAGACAGATGGGTTTAGGAGTACTATCAAGGAAAAGAGTTTTTTTTTTTTTGCAACTTTTCTTCCCTAAATATGAATTCGTATTTTTTTTTCTGAGTTTGAATCCCAAATGGATTCATCAAATTTAACCCCTGAAATAAAAACTACTATCATTCATTTTATAATTCACTTTATCACTGGATAAAGAAGCTAGAGTATAGGTCCTTATCACCACAAACCTAGATTATATTTTAGGATTCTTAACAGTTAATAGACTATAAATATCCACAACAATCTAGATGTCAACACAAAAGTGACTTTCTTGGAATATTAATTTCCTTATACTTACAGGAATAGTTCTATGCTTAGGTTTTTGCTCTCTGTCTAGTTCGCTTAATTTTTACTGGGACAGGATGACCCAGAAACACTTATTACAAAAAAAAAAAAAAAAAAAAGGAGGACTGAAGTCGCAGTTGTACTACCATATATTTTAATATTGAACTTATCCTGACCATTAAATGCTATACCTCCAAAGCACTGCTAACCTTGACTCAACACTAGTCTCTAATTCTGTTTTCATAACTTCATTAATACGTTTATGCTTCCAATTTATTTTGTGATCTTTAAAGATCATTCAACATCATTCTAGAACCTTTACTGACCCTCATGTTTATTTGCCTTTAAGTGCTTGAAAGAAAGTGACCAATTACAAGCAGAGATCTGTGGTTGAAATTTCATGGCATTTATGAGGAACACATAAAAAGGTCACTTAATAATGACTTGTGCAAAGTTAATTTGTATATACGTGAAAGAAAATCCCATTCATGAAAGACATTTACCAGAGTGGTTAAAATGTAGATTGGCATGAGTTTTAGGGCCACAAGGATAAATAAGTTACAGTAGACAAAAGAGGACCAGACTGGCTTTTAACAGAAAATTGATTTAAATTTATATTGTAATTTCTTACAATATAAGTTTATCATGACATGTTAATGGCAATATAACTTTTCTGAATTAGACAACCACTTAATTTAAATTAAGAATTAGTTTCCGACCTTAAGAATGGAGTGGAGATCAATGGAACTGTCCTGTAAGATGGATGATAAAATATGAGACTGGAATATAAGCAGGACAAAAATGCTGGAAATGTCCATTTTAGAAGTTCTCAGCAAAAAACTAATGCCTTGTATCATGAAAACGGATATGCTCCTGTAGGAGTAATTCTAAAGAGTACAGAGCAGAAAGCAGATTGTCTGTCTATTGTGAATAAAAATATTATTTTAACAAGCATTTAGTAAGCAACCAATATGTACCAGACATCATTCCTGGCCCTGGGAGCACAGCAGTGCACAAGTCAGAAAATATATGAAAAGCATTTAACAAAGCAGAGTGACCTATCTTAGTGTTGTAACACTCCAAATGAGGTGCAGTAATAGATTTTAGAAAGGATAACCAGTACTTCATGTGAAGGGCAAACATCATCTAAAAAGAAGTATCAACTCCGAAATAATAAACTGTTGAGAAACACAATGATTTATAATCTCATTTCAGAATTAAAAGACAGAAAAGGAAGTTAAAACGTGCTAAAAATAAGTCTGAGGAATTTCAATGTTAATGAAAGAAGGAAATAGCATTTGGAAAAAAATATATAAGCTAGATTTATAATCACTTTAAGATTAAAGTAGTATACTCCAATGGTAGGGTGTGAGTAACTGGGAATTCTAGAGAAAAAATCAAAATAAAAATCTAAGACAAGGTTAGACAAGGATTAGGTTTTGCATATAGGAAAGAGAATTAAATCTGTTTTTAAAATGTCAAGCAAAAGAAGGAATTTAGGCAGAGAAAATGAAAACAAGATATGATTTAGGACTCTTTCATATACAAGATCAAGTGTCCCTCAATCAGTTCTAGAAGCATAAAGAATTTAAAAAGAGATTCCTGAAAAATTTCCAAAAGGTTCCAACTACCTCACTAATAACATGGGACATAATTTCTTCTAACTCACCAGGGTAGCCCTGACGTGGAAATTCTACTTCTAATATCCATGGCTCTTTTCCTTGCTTCAACCTGAAGACCTTATTTGGCTTAGTCACACAATAACCTATTAATAGAAAAGATAAAATGTTACAAATTGCTTGGAATTCAGAGATTTTGCAGTCTCTAAATAAGGAAGTACAGTTCAGGAGAAGAACAATGAAGTCCCACATATATTTGGCAAATTTAGATTCCTTCAATAGGCAGAGATGTAAGTTTTTTTCTGAATATGAATTCATAGTTTTTTTTTTTTTTTTTCTGAATATGAATCCAAAATGGTTTCATCAACTTTTACACCAAAAAGCAACTATCATTCAACCCAAGGAGCTCTGGTAGCACAGTGTCTAAGGTATTTGACTGCTAACCAGAAGGTTGGTGGATCAAGCCCACCAGCCACTCTGCAGAAGCAAGTCTGGGTAATCTACTTCCATAAAGATTTACCACCTCAGAAACCCAATGGGGGTCGCTATGAGTCAGAATCGACTTGATGGCAATGGGTTTGGTTTTGATTTTGGTTTTGATCACTCAAACTTATAAGGGCCTCATACGCTCTAGCAATTGGGAAAGAAAATATATTCTGGGAGTTACATATGGGGAAGTTTTCCTCACCCACTGATACGAGGTGACTATAGTTTTCCAGCATCACATCCCTGTACAGGGTCTTCTGAGCAGGGTTTAGTAATTGCCACTCTTCCTGGGTGAATTCCACAAGAACATCCCTGTATGTCACTGGTCCCTGTAACAGCATGTTTCAATTCAATAAGAAGTGATCAGAATAAAGGCCCCCTGAAAAGACACATGTTAAGTAGTTCTTAACGTGTTAACTGTAGACTGTACTCTGAAAAGTTAAGATAGGGGGCTATTCTGTATCCTGCTTTACCTATAGAAAAAATATTTTTTCAGTGTATGTTTGTTGAGCTCCTATTCTGTGCCTGGAACTATGCTGGAGATATAAAAATGAATAAAAGCAAGTATTATGAAGGAGCTTCTGACAGGGAGGCAAATATATGAATGATTAAAATACTTAAATGCAATCTAGCATAGCAGATGCTATGACAGAAATGTTTATGAGGTGTACCATGGTCTCAGATTGGGACAATGTTATTTGTATTTTGTATTATCCAGATAGATTTTATTAGGTGGTCAAACTTTAAGAATAAAAGAAAACAGAATTGCCAAAGACATGGATGCATGGAAAATGGTAAGTTTAGGAAACTGTAAATAACATAGTATAATACAAAAATAGGAATGTAGGACCTATATTAGAAGCTTCTGGAGTCAAGTCAGGTGAAGGAACATGTAGAAATTCTGAATTTGGCTTTTGGACCAGTAAAATGTATTTTGCATACACATCTAATTGTTGTTAGTTGCTGTTGAAACCTATTGACATTAAGTCAATTGAAACCATTGGGTTTTTACGGTGGTAAATCTTTACAGAAGTAGATTGCTCCATCTTTCTTCTGTGGTGTGGCTGTTGGGTTTAAACCACGAACCTTCTGGTTAGCAGTCAAATGCTTTAAGCACTACACCACCAGAGCTCCTTAGTTCCTGTTAAGTCAGCTACAATTAATGGTAACTATGTGCGTAGTGGCTAAGGCACTTGACTGCTAACCAGAAGGCTGGCGGTTCAAACCCACCAGCCACTCCTCGGAAGGAAGATGGGGCAATCTACTTCCGTAGTGATACTGCCTCGGAAACCCAAGGAGGGGTCGCTATGAGTCGGGTCTTACTCGATGGCACATTAACAACAACATCAATGTGCATAATAGAAAAAAAATGCAGTCTTGTATCATCTTCATCATTGTTGGTACGTTTGAATATATTGTTGTGGCTATTGTATCTTTTCTAAAAATAGGGGCATCATCTTCCAGCACTGTATTGAATGATGTTCCATTGTGCTCCATAGTGTTTTCACTGGTTGATTTTCAGTAGACTGCTAGGACTTTCTTTTTGGTCTATCTGGAAGCGCCCCAAAACCTGTCTACCATGGATGACCTTTCTGGTATTTGAAATACCAGTGACATAGTTTCCAACATCATAGAAACATGAAAGCTACCACAGTATGACAAACAGACATGTGGTGGTTCATACTTAATAGGTCTTTCGTTATTAAAATATTACATACATTTACTTCTATGAATCAGAAATAAGCTTTAACAAAGCTTTCTTTTTAGATGTTTATATAAAATAAAAATATATTCTGCTTTTTATTTTTTAAGAGTTTGTTTTACATTCAATGTTATGTGTACTTTTAGTTTCACTCGCCATTTACCATGCCCAATCCTAACCCAGTCTCTTCCCCTCCTTGCCCAGTAACCCTTCCCCATGCCCCTTATAGTTACGCACGCCTGTTTGTCCTGCATTTCCTCAGTGTAAATGTTGCCCCTCTGGTGCCCTGTGGTCTATGTATTACCATAGAATATGTGGGTGCATCATCCTGGGTTGAGTGTTCTGCATGTACATCTTGTTAACTATTGGGCTGAGAGCCAGCTCCTGGGAGTGAATTTTATTATAGGTGCAGAATGTATTCCAGGACCATAGTTTTGGGGGTCTCATCAGACTCCATCTGACCAGTAATTCTGGTCATTATTGAGTTTTTGGATTTTGTTCTATGTTTTTCCTTCTACTCTATCCAGGATCTCCAGATTTGATCCTTTCCCGATTGGTTGGCATTGGTAGCCGAGCACCATCTACTCTTCTGGTCTTGAGGGCCATCATGTCCTAGGGCTGATTGCTTCCAAATGCTTTTTTTTTTTTTTGCACTCTTCTTCACTTCTGATGTGTTCTGGTTACCTAGTGCTGCTCTGACAAGAATATACCACAAATGGGATGGCTTTAACAAACTGGAGAGTTTATTCTCTTACAGTTCAGGGGGCTAGAAGTCCGAGTTCAAAGTACCAGGCTCTAGGGGCTGGGTGAAAGCTCCTTGACTTTGGGCTTTAGCTCTGCCTCTTGCTCCTGGCCCAATGAAGCTAGAGGAATCTCTTCCCTCAGGCAGCTACTGGCTGCTGAGGCTAACAAGCCTAAGGTCAACAAATAAAATGGCACAGTCCCGATGTTACCAAACTACACGGCAGGCCATTAATTCAAATACCTTGAAAGTCCCAAGTTCAGCAGAGCATAGCAGGCTGCTGAACAACGACATGGCTACATGCAAGGTCCAAGCATGCCATATGTTAGAGACCATTCCCCGAGGCTTCTGCTTATATACAGGAAGTAGACCACGTTCCCTAAGGCAGCTACTCAGCTACTCACAGTAAATTCCACCATGTAGTTGATTACCAGTTTCATTATGGGGAATACTATATCCAGCTGCCCAGCTACTCAACCAGGCCCAGCCCCGTTGACATACAGACTTAACTACCACACAACACTAGGAGACTATTAGCTACATCTTAGATGGTTGCCTCATCAATGTAGGAGGAGGAACAAGGATTTTATGTATTTTGTTGTGCCAACTGAGTCTGGTGTCCCTGAGTACTATGGTCCTGAGATGGTAGATCTATTGGATCTCTCTTCCATAGTGACTGGTGTCTGTGAGGGATTACTCTGTGTCTGTCTATTGTTTCTGTAAGGATTGCAGGTATTCTGTAACACTGGTGTCGGTGCAAGATTAGCTCAGCTGAAATCTATCCCTGGTCTAGAGTATACCCTTGTTCACTGACCCCCCATCTGATCCTCTCAGGTGTTTGTGTGTTTATCTGTAGGCTAGTATTTGGTGCTAATGATAATGCAGTATTGTGGACACATTGGTTGGTATTAGCATCTGTCGTCTATCTCTTATGTGCACAATTCGGTGTCCTCCCATTTCCTAATGTTATCATGGTGGTTCCAGGCTGTGATATTAATATATTACATACATTTACTTCTATGAACCAGATATAAGCTTTAACACAAAGCTTTCTTTTTAGATGTTTATATAAAATAAAAATATAAATAGATATTCTGCTATTTCTTGTCAAACTATGTAGACAATCACTCCTTCCCTTTGTAGAAGCAACTCCAGATAGTGGGGTGCCAGAGTAGAGACAGAAATAAGCAATGAAGTCATATGAATAGTAGTTTAGAAGAAAATTCTAAAACAGCTTTTCAGAAAGATACTGTGTTAGAAAATTAAGAGAAAAATATGAGCAATAAGCATTTATATTAAAGTATTTGATATGAGGTGAAGAAATATAACTGTAATGAAATGAAACCACCATGATATCTATATGGTTTAACAGTAGCTAGAACCACATTGCCAATTATTTTCATTCCTTCATTTTTACTGATGGAACTAGTAAGGGTATGAAATCTCCTCCCATATCTGCTTTATATTCCAAAGAATCTGAAATGTAGTGTTTTCTCACTTGAAGAATACCTGGGATGGATATACATTTTGCTTCATACTTTAGGGGGGTAGAATGTGACTCTTCTCATTCCTCTCCTCTCCTATGTGTCATATAGTGCTTTTTCATTTACATTACTTCCCCTTGAGCATGTTGTAACTTAATCTTTTTATCTGAGGTGATTTTCTGTTTGGCTACTTCTTTCTTACTTTACCTATATTTTGTATCATTTTTCAATTTTTAATATGAGTCTTCAATTTTTATTTTTTAGAGTTCTTTCCTATCTGAAATTGATTAATGTTAAAGTATTGTATTAAAGTTTTCCTCTACTATGTGTTCGCTTTATAAAGGAATATTTATATCTATTGAAAACATGTTAATTTACACTTTCTGCTTCCTTTTTCTATTACTTTTACATAAATGTTGAGTAACTTTTACTCATGATCAAATGAAGATAGAAGTTGATTTTATAGTGGGAAGGAGTGAATGGGTTACTACAGTTCTTAGTTCAAAAATTCCCTCTTCTTTTGGCATAGTAAGTTACACTTTCTTGAAGAAATAGCACCACTTGCTGTGTGGCTTTAGACTCTGTGATACTGTATTATTTTTGTAGGATATCTATGTCAGTTGCTTTTTCTGGTTTTTTTTTAAGTTTTTTTTAAACATATGCCATCTCAACAATTTCTACATGCACAATTCAGTGACAATGATTACAGTCTTCAAGCTATCATCAACGATCTGTTGTACCCTTTTCCAAATCATTCTAAATTATTAATATAAAATCAGTGTCCCCAAAGCAAACCATCCGTACTTCCCCACTACTCCTGGCATCCACTGATCATCTTTGGTTTCTATCTACTGGCTTATTCTGGCTTCTTCCTTTCTTATTTGCCTTTACTACCAACCGTGCAGGGAATTCCTTCCTTCTCTAATGTGGTACCTTCCTAAAGCTATTACAAGTCTCTTCCTTTCTATTTCCAATATGAGTGCTTGAATCTCACAAATATCAGACCACTTTTTCCTTTCCTGATCAGTGTGAGACATTCTGCTTTGGGCAATATACCTACTTGATCTTATGTTGCTCTATGGCTATAAAATTATAAAACAAGCAAAACATATAGAAACAAAAACTCATCAGATTTTATGCAATCCTCTTCTTGACTTCCTGTTCTGGAGCAAGTTCAGAGCTGCCTCTGCTTTTTAGGAATTGATTTTCCAACTGACATGTAAAGTTTCCTATCTTCTATAGTTATACATTAGAAGCAGGTTATGGTATATGGAGACATTTAAACTGGTAAAAGTGGAGGGTGAGTGA